ACATGTAGATAACAGTCCCGTAGAAGATGGACACCACAATGAGGTGGGAGGAACAGGTCCCAAATGCTTTCTGTCTTCCTGCTGCAGATTTGATCCTGAGCACAGCTACAGCAATGAAGCCATAAGAAATCAGAATGAGAAAGAGTGGTGTCAGGAAAATAAAAAAACATAATACAAATAAGGTTTCCTCCATGGCTGTGGTGTCCACACATGCAATCTTGACCATTGCAGATATTTCACAAAAATAGTGATCCAGATGGTGGTTCCCACATCGAGGAAGACTCATGGCATAGGGTGAAAGTATCATGCAGTTAGTAACGCCAACTCCCCAGGTCATGGCCACCAGGATTCGACAGAGTTGGGGGTTCATTATGGTCATGTAGTGCAGAGGCTTTCAGACAGCGTTGAATCGGTCATAAGACATCACAGCCAGAAGCATACATTCGACTGTGCATAGTGTCACATCAGTGAAAAGTTGAAAGGCACAGCCACCATAAGAGATTTTTTTGTCCTTTCCCCAGATATTGGCCAACATCTGTGGGACTATATTTGTGGTGTAACAGAGATCCAAGATGGCCAAATTCCTGAGGAAGAAGTACATGGGGGTCTGGAGATGGTCATCTAGGAGAGACAGCAGGACGATGGCCATGTTTCCCATCAAGGCAATGGTGTAGAAGAGAAAGACAACCCCAGAGATGATCATCTCCAGCTGCGGCTGCGCCTGGAATCCAAGGAGTATAAATCCACCAAAGTGGCTATCGTTGACCATTTTCCTATTCTCTTATTATCAGCTGTGACAACAAAACATCAACATATTGGAAGCCATAATGAGTGTGTTTATAAACAATATTACTGGAATTATAGCTGGCAAGAAACATATCACATAATCAAAGAACACATCAGTGTTGACATCTCATCGAGTGTTTGTTCTGTTTATGCAGTTAGGTCTAGAATTTATCCCAGAGCAATCTGCCGACAGGATCCATACTCTCAGTTTTCTGTCTGCTTCTATGCCACAGCTAAAACCTGCAAAAGTCTCATAGGAAAAGCCCCCCCAAAATGGCTGATGAAACCCAATAGACTTCTCTTTATTAATCGGTATGCTGGGAAGGGGGTTTGGAATCTGTGATTACTCATTGTCTCTTTCATTCAAGGGGGTCATTGAAAATGCAGGTCTCCTACCTATTATTCCCTTTTACTAATATTCAAGCTACATGGGTTTAGTTTGGGTCACCATTTGTACTCTGCTATCTACAATTTCTGACTTTATATTTTAAAGTCAAACTTTTTCTTTTATCTCAAAACTTAGGTTTCCAAGTGTTATTTGCCTTTCCCCACATGCTCCCAGAACAGCAGTCTCTCATTTTTCCTGAGACGCCATTTTTCATCTGTAGTTTTGCATCCACCATCGACTGCCTCCTGTATGCACCTCTCCATTTTACACTCAATCTCTGATATTCATTTGTGTCCTTCCTCTCATTCTACAAGAACTTCCATTCTATTACTCATGCATTTAAAATGTTAGGAGAGGGAGCAGTGTTATTTTTTGTTCATATCTCAGGACTCTCAGGATCAGGACAGAAAAAACATCCATGAATATTGGAAATTTATTAAAAGAAACACTGATGATCACATCTGGCTCTTTCCTTTCATATCGAAAAAGTAGTGTTTTTGTAAAAATTCAAACATTTACTATGGAAAACTGTATATAGGTCCCCCAAAAATTGAAATTAGATTTACCATATTGCAGTATTATTTATAATAGCCAAGATATGGAAGCAACTGTGTCCATTGACTGACCAATGGATGCAAAAGTGGCATATATATACAATGGACTATTATTCAGCCAAAGGAAAGAATGAATTCTTGCCATTTGCAAAGACATGGGTAGAACTTGAGTGTGTTATGTTAAGCTCCTTCTCCTTAAAGGAGAAAAACAAAAACAAAAACGTAGACTCTACACTATAGAGAACAAACTGATGGTCACCAGAGGGGAGTTGCAGAGGGTGGTGTTAAATAGATGACAGGCATCGACTGTGTTTATTGTGATGAGCCCCAAGAAGTGTATAAAATATTTAATCATTATGTGATACACAAGAAACTAATATAAAATTGTATGTTGATCATACTTTAGAAAAAAAATACCTCAATCCAAATATTCAGCTAAAATAGTTGTGTATATATATATATATACACATACATACCCCTGGAGGTAGATTGGGCAAGGGAATGGAAGAAACAGGTGATGGATATAAAGGAGGGCACTTGTTGTGATGAGAGCTGGGCGTTGTGATGAATCACTTAATCGTACACCAGAGATGAATATTACATGTAATTTATTTCACGTAACTAATTTACATACTACATGTAAATCATGTATTACATGTAATGTATTTCATTACAATTTAAATGAAAACTTAATTCAAAATTTAAAAATAAATAAGATCTCTCATGCACAGAAATGAATTTCTAGCTTCCAAACTGGTCGTCTTCTCCACATTATTTTTCTACATGAATTCTCAGTGACAGGTTAGTGATCCCATGGTAGAGCTTCCCTTTGCCTTCACAAATACTCTGCCCAGCTACTCCCCCGACCCCTCAGGGCGCCCTCCCTGCAGCTCTGTCTCCAGGGTGTTCTAATGCACTCTCCTTTCTCCCGTCCCTCCTCTGTTGCAAGGCTTCCCTTCACAATTTTGCACAGATAACTAACAGCCTAGGTCTTCTGGCCCTCTCATCATTTTCAGCCTCCGATTTACAATTTTTGCTCATTTTGGGGCATTTGCACTGGCTTTTATAACAATAACTTCCCATACCACATGTACACAAAATTGAATTCATTATACGTTACTTCATAAAACAAAGGTTAACTCTTTCTTTCAGACATAAACTTTTAATTTATATAAAAATAGTCACCATTTGCACTCTGCTATCTAAAATTTCTGACTTTATATTTTAAAGTCAAACTTTTTCTTTTGTCTCCAAACTTGGGTTTCCAAGAGTTATTTGCCTTTCCCCACATGCTCCCAGCACAGCATTCTCCCATTTTTCCCGAGACGCCTTATAAGTACCCCCTAACAAATGTTCCTAACAAATGTTTATTAAAATGAATTCATGAGGGGCACCTGGGTGTCTCAGTCGGTTGAGCGTCCAACTTCAGCTCAGGTCATGATCTCACAGTTTGTGGGTTCGAGCCCCACATTGGGCTCTGTGCTGACAGCTCGGAGCCTGGAACCTGCTTTGGATTCTGTCTCCCCTGCTCACGCTCTGTCTCTC